CGTACTTTGTTTCTCCGTTTTCTCTCTTTCTCTTTCTATTCTCTTCGTTTTTCTTCCTTTATTCCAACCTCTTCGGGGTGTTTTACCGGAAGCCGATTTATGTTTATCTTCACCTTGACCATGTGCATTTTATCCGGAGCTCTTTTGTCGGGTGAGATGCTTATGACGACTGACTTTGTTTATTCTTGTTCGGGCCCCTTCCGTCCCTATCCGCGGGCAATGACTGCATGATGTACGTATACCGCTGTTCCGTCGAACAGACCAATTTCCAGTTTATAAGAGATGAGATGTATAGTGAACTTGTATTTCCAAGGCTGGCACTTCTGTTAGACTTGGTCGCGAGTTTGAGCGCTATTTTGTGTTGGGCTTTGTGTGTTTCGGCTCGGGTTGGGTGGGCTGGTATAGACTAGGCGAATTGTTTAATTCTATGAGTTAATTTCCCCAGGACAAGTGAGGCAAGCACTCTCCGTTCTATCGTACATAAGTACTCTGTTAAGGTAATTAGATATAAGGAGTACCTATAGCCACCCATCGGATGGAATCCGAAGGAGCCCCACCGGCTTCTACTTCCCTGGTCGGGATCCAATCCAGACCGTCGGCATCTCGACCGCTTTTTCAGATCCGATCGAAACGGACTTCCGTGCCGATAACTCTTCCGTTGAAGGCTGGAAGTAAGCAGGGAATAATAATAGTAACAGTAACCACGGCATAAGGGGCAATACTGTTTGTTCATGAGGCATTTCCAATCTTTGTTCAAGTGGTGCGCGTTCAGGGCTGACGGTGATCGACCCTCCAGAGGCGAATAGGAGCCCAACGGGTCTTGGGATTAGTATTTGTTCTATATTGAGGGATTCGCAAGTGCGGGATATAATTTCACCTTTCCTTTTCTATCATTGGTTCGAATGTTAGTACTTTGGGGTTGGGCTGAATCTCCAAAGTCAAAACAAGAGGGTGAGAGTGATGCCTGAGAGAGAGCCTTAAAAACCATTCAGCTTGCCGTGTGCTCTTTCTTTTTCTCTCTTTTAACAGCGCTTGACGCGGTCGATAACCCTGACAGACTGTCACCTACTTTGACGTCTCTTTTCTTTTCCCCCTTGCTTTCTTTTTCTTCTACGTATAGATCGCACGCATCCTTGGCGTCGTTGGTTTTATACATACGAGAAAGCCAAGACACGCATCAATCTGCTAAACTATTTTTGTCCTCCGTATCAACATTGATATTGTTGCCAAGCAGCAAACATGTCGTTCTCTGGCCGCCGCGTGAGCATTTTGCGCCCTTCCAACAGGCGATTCTCCCTAGGCAAGGAGTTGTCGGAGAATGGTGCGTTCTTCCTTGATACAAGTTTTTGATTGGGGTTGCACGTTTGTGATCGACGATGTTGTAGAAACCGCGGAATGAGGGGTTCAACAAACAAAAAAGAAAAAAAAAAAAAAAAAAAAAAAAAAAAAAAAAAAAAAAAAAAAAAAAAAAAAAACAAAAAAAGAAAGAAGGCCAATTAATCATACACATGTTCTCTAACAATACTCCCTTCTTATTCAGAACTCCGATCGGAAACCCATCGTCAATTTCGAAGCGCTCACGAAGGTCACCGTCCTCACGCCGGCCTCGATGCCTCGCGTGCCTCGACAGGTGTCGTCTGGTGTACGGAACGTGCGACAGAACACGGTTTCGCAGAAAATCCAGCTGAATGGGCGAATCTGGGCCAAGGTGCCCCCGAAGCCGATGATGAGATCGAAGGCAGTTTCCCCCGCCCGACGAGTATTCCTATCACCTCTGCTGCTCGTGAGTACGGCCCCACGGCCGGTATCAAGCCCCTCCGTGCTGCTGTCGCTCGGCTGTACAATGAGCATTACCGACAGGGCAAAGAGAGCCAGTACACTTGGGAAAATGTCTGCATTGTGCCCGGTGGACGGGCGGGTTTGATTCGAATCGCAGCCATTCTGGGCAATTCGTACCTTTCCTTCCCCATTCCCGACTACTCTGCGTACTCGGAGATGTTGAGTTTGTTCAAGAATGTACGTGCGGGGTTGCTAGTAGACTTGATATGTGTCGCGATAGCTAACAAATTATCTTTTAGATCGCGCCTATTCCCATTCCCCTCTCCCAGAGCGACCATTATCATATCTCCCCCGACAAGATCGCCGAGGAAATTGCCCGTGGTACCCAGGTCCTCTTAACCTCGAACCCCCGTAACCCGACCGGACATTTTGTCTCCAGCGAGGAGCTGGCACAGATCCAAGACATCTGCAGGGATCGCGCGACGCTGATTTTGGATGAATTCTATGGAGGCTACAACTACACCACCGACTGTGATGGCACGACTCTCAGTGGTGCTACGAATGTGGAGGATGTCAACCAAGACGGTGGGTCAACACTCGGAAGCTATAGATGATTCTCGCATGCTAACCCTGGCAGATGTGTTGCTCATCGACGGTCTCACCAAGCGTTTCCGCCTGCCTGGTTGGCGTATCGCCTGGATTGTCGGCCCCAAGGAATTCGTTGATGCCCTGGGCTCCGCTGGTTCCTACCTGGATGGAGGTGCCAACGTGCCGTTCCAGGAAGCTGCCATTCCCATGCTTGAGCCGTCCCTTGTACGCGCAGAGATGAAGGCTCTTCAGCATCATTTCCGTGAAAAGAGAGACTTCGTTGTGAAGCGTTTGAACGAGATCGGATTCCGTATCAAGGATATTCCTCAGGCCACCTTCTACATTTGGCTTGATCTGACTGCCTTGGAACCCCCTCTTCCCGCAGAGGCTAACATCTCCGACGGTCTGAACTTCTTCAACGCCCTTCTGACTGAGAAGGTTATTGTGGTGCCTGGTATTTTCTTCGACCTGAACCCTGCCAAGAGACGAGACCTGTTCGACAGCCCTTGCCATCACTTCGTCCGTCTGAGTTACGGACCTAAGATGGATGTACTGAAGAAGGGTCTGGACGGCATTGAAAGGGTTATCCGCCGGGCTCGTGGAGAGGCCCTCAAAGCGCAATGGGAAGACGAGGTAGCAATTGCTGACGACTAAGGGATCAGTCATGAGCAGATCCATGCACATACATATAGATTTATAGCTAGTATTTTATGAACAGAGGCCACTGCATATGTGTAAGCCATATCGTTCTTCCCCTCCCTCGTTTTTACCCTCCCATATCAAATTGGCGATGCTTTTTGAGCTTAACGTACGAAGTAGAGTCGCAGTATAAGAACTCCCCGTTCTAGACACGGCCCCTTAATTTAGTTGGACTCCGTCTTGCACGTGACTCCCCCCCTCTCGGTCGGCCACAGCGACTCCCATTTGAAGTACTTCCTGTCATGATCATAGACGGTCGAGGCAGCGACGAGCTCGGGCTGCGATGCGCAATATGATGCGCTCGATATTATGGCCTGGAATATCTATCGCATCCTCAACTACACTACTTTTATCGTTCTCTCTATCGTCCTCTTCTGTCTTATAGTGCTGACCCCAGCCGACGCGATCTACCAGTGCTACGTAACCTCGCGACTCACGAATATCTTTATCATTAGCGGTGGCTACATCGTGACTTTTATATTAGCGGCGCTGATATACGCAACGCGGATCTATACCAATCGCAGCGCCTTGGCAGGAATCCCCAAAGCATGGATCCCAATAGAGAAAGAAGATGTCGGAAAGAGTGTGAGACGGCTAGTGGTTGAAGGGCTTGCTCGCAGCGCGATTGTTGCTTATCAAGCTAGGCCAAGGGACACAGCTGCAGATGGCGATACCTTCGCCGACTACCCCATGCTCTTGATAGACCGCGACCGCCCCCCGTGGGGCCTTGTAGAACACCCCGGATGGTCTTCTCCTGCATCCCCCGATCTGCCCGACCTGCCGTACCGAACGGTCATCCAAGAACTCCCGAACCTGATCGAGGCGAAAGCGGTCTCTCTTGCTCCCCCCGACCCCTTTTTGACAGCGACCCGCTCGTTTGACCCCTCGTCCCCCGGCGCGGAACAATCAATCCCGGACACGCGAGTGGTAGACATCTTACGGCGACCGGCGTCGATGGGTCTGAGGGAATATTTGCAACACCTTACTAGTCTGGACGTCATCAAACCGCCCGAGATTGGGGCAGAATTCATCGCACTATACGAACGCGCGCGCTTCTCGCCGCACGAGCTTCACGAGACGGAGTTTCGGGATCTGATGCATATATTTGCTGAGTTGCTTAGGGGGATGAAGTCGCTTGATACGCACATTATGGACGATATTTACGCCGAAAGCTCTCACGGCGAGAGCGAGTCCATCATTGGACCTTCGGACGAGGAAGGGGAGACTGACACGATGGACTTCCGCGATGATAGTGAGGCGTTGTCGCGAAGCCGGAGCAACAGTTTGCAACCTTCTAATGCATCGATGTGGGAACGCCGCTCCACCTACACTACTACGTCAGGAAGGCAGAACCAGAGGTCCCCTGTCTGGTCGAGAAACGTTGACCGGCATCGGCTGGCGACGCCCCGAACGCCATCCATACGATCGCTTAGGCGGGTCCAGTCGAACGTATCGGGGAGTTCTGCAGGGAGCGTTATTCGTTTGGTAGATACCCATGGGCCCTCTGATTTGCCCTATGCGATTAATTTTAATAGAGCGTGAAAAGTTTTTGGGATAACCCAATTGGATTACAATAATGAAAGCGCACTTTCCTTTTTACTGAAAATGAAACAGAGAGAAACTACCCAAATAAATGTAGAATGTATCCCGTTAGCTTTTTTATTCTATGAATACTAGATCCATAGTTACTACTACTTAAACATCCCCATGGAATTCCATGCGAATGACCTGATCTGGAGAGAAGATTGATAATAGCCAACCAATCAGGCCAGGCGCTATTCGTAGCCTAACGGTGCAGATCGGAAAGGATTCCGTGCTTGGCGTTGGTGATTGATAAGATCTGCTTTTCCAAAAGGGCAACTGTGTCACTCCCAACTGTGTATTTTTTTTTCTTCCACCCTTCCCCTCCTTTCCCCATATCTTCCCCCCACACGATGCAGGCTCTCTGGCGACGCGGCACATCTCTCTTCTCAACTCCGTCGGGGTCGCCCAAAGACTCCGGGGCAGCGGAAGACTTCCGAACAGCTCCAAGCCCCGACACGCTATTCACGAAGGTCGACCCCGCCGTTGACGGAGAAGAATGTCTCCACGACTGCGCTTCATGTACCGTTCGGTACCCGGCGAAGTTCGACGTGGACCAGGAAGATACATTGTACGGGAACGTCAACGGATGGTCGACACACCTGCTCGTCGCGACCGGGAAAACAGACTGGGTACGAGATGTCGCGGACGAAGAAGGCAGTGTGATGGAAGCGATTGAGAAGGGGGGCCTGGAGCCCAGTAATGGGGTAAGTCGCGATCGACAAACTACTACCACTCGAAAAGCTAGTATAATACTGATGGAGTGATGATGATGATGATATTAAGAAATTGAAGCTGTCGGCCTCCAACATGCCCGTGCCGGACGAATACCACCACCACGACTCGGGAAAACAACCGACAACCGTCCTGCTCCTACCCAGCTTCACTATTGTTGACCATGTCACGCCGGCCCTGGCCTCTGACCTGATCAAATATATTGTCAATCCCGCGCCCACCACCACGACGCCCCTGGGGGCTCTCCCGGAGCCAGTATCCGCACCCACATCAGACGACCAACCACAACAGCCACCACCACCACCCATCGCAGACCTCCTATCGCAGACGCCCCTCCGCTCGCGTCCCTGTCCCCACGCCGCGGTGATCCTTCTCTGTTCCCAGCGCACGCGGGACGCCCGCTGCGGCCAGTCTGCGCCGCTTCTCCGTAAGGAATTCGAACGCCACTTGCGCCCGCTGGGATTGTACCGCGATCTCGATGACGAGCGACCCGGCGGCGTCGGCATCTACTTCATCAGCCACGTTGGGGGTCACAAGTATTCTGCGAATGTGATTGTGTACCGCCGTCGCGATTTGGAGTGGTACCGCAAACAGGACGGCAAAGAGGAGACATCGGCGGAGGGAGAGGAAGGTGCGGCGCAGGGTATCTGGCTGGCGCGCGTTCGTCCAGAGGACTGTGAGAATATCGTCCGGTACACAGTGTTGAAGGGGAAGGTGGTAAAACCGGAACAGATTAGGGGAGGCTTTGATCGGGAACGGGGCGTGATGAGTTGGTAGTTTCGTTGGTCTTGGTTTTGGTTGGCGGACTTCCAGTACAGTACATATATACACCGGGTTATGGGTATGGATATAGATATGTGATGCTAGATGTATGGTATATGAATGGAGTTATGTATCTTCCCGCTTGTATACTCATTTAGCGGGCAGTAGGTTCCATAGAGCTATGCCATTCGATACTGTAAACTGTTGTGAATCAGTACTACTGATCTCAACAAAGCGATTATGTACTTACTGCGTTGGATATACTTCAGTACAATGTTAGACTGACTACGAACGATAGCATTCTAGGATACGTAAATAGAGCCAAGGAATCATCACGCCGAAGTGATGTATCCCCGAGCATTCAAGGCGACTATGAAACTAGAAGAAAGCCCTGGTATAACCAAATCCCTTTCAGTCACAGTCTAAGCCAATAGGGCACATGAACCTTCACTCAACCAAAAGCAAAAGTTCCGGTTAGTGAAAGAACAACCATCGGTGGATCCCTCAGGGATATGAAGAACAGCTCCTGGCACAGTGCATTCTCCTCGAAGGGATGAGTAGAGTAGAGGGATCCTAGGAAAACCAGATCGACAATCACCACAGAAGCTAAACAGAGACACCAGGAGACAGAGGACAGGGAAAGAGCTTGTTAGAACAAAGGTCCAGACATTGTCCTCTCTTTTTGAACAGATAGTTCCATACCTGAGTCGCAAGTATGGATCTAAGGCCCATGGTATGTAAGTTGTATCCGGCCTCTAGAAAATACATGGCTTGAGTTTGTCGGGAGTCCGTCCCTTACTGTAGTGTATCTGTTATGCGTTTATCGCGATTCGTTTTCAGTTGCAGGACCGTCATGTACCGATCGCATTAGTCGCCATGTCGAGTTTACCCTAGTTCTCCATGGCTACTGGACAATTACTGTCCGACGGCTATGTCAATCAGAGACATGGGACAGGCAACGGACCAACGGAGATTCTCGGTGTTATGTTCGTATGAAATGAGGTGGAAGTCGAGAGTTTGTTAATCCGCGAATACCCATCGAAGTCTAGACACAAGATCTCAGCACATCGAGTTATTTGGTTTAGAAACTAAACGAGGTGCTTGCCATTGACCCATTGCCTGACACAGGTCATACCCGCTTGAATCTAGACGTGTTTCTGTCGGGATAATTCCCCCCCCCCCCATGCCATCCCATTCACCAATGATCCAAGAAAAGTACGAGATGATAGAACAAAATGCTAGTGCCACTGTCCAGAGTCGTGTATTTAGTCACCTGCCACATCAGGAAAATGGTCCATGAAAAGCCGTATCGTCCATAAAAGCGACGCGGCGGAGACTAGTATTTGAGTCTGTCATCCACAAGTATGCCATTGACATTCGCCCTAAAATGTATCATGCGTTCGTTTAAAATTTCCCGAAGTAGTATAGTGATCGTTCGGGTTCTTTGAATAGATGTACTCTGTAGTACTTCATGTTAAGCTAGAAACTGAGTCGCCATGTGCCTACAAATAACGGGGCTCTATGGATGGATATGCGCATGTTGGACATTGATCCTAGTGGTTACTATGCGAGGCAGGGGATTCCGGCGTATCGGAATGGGAAACTACCGAGGATGAAGATTTATTAGCAAGGATGAAGAACACGAGAGGACGACGAGAAGTGACTAATACCTCCTTTTTTATTGGCCAGTTGTTCCCGTCTTCTTACCTAAGACCAAGTGTCAATCCTCCCAAAATTATCCCAATCCAGATAGTGTGGGAGGTGTGGACATGGTGTGGACATGGACGTGTGTGCTGTACAGATTCAAAGTCGTAGAACATCGAACTAGGCTCATCTTGGGTAGTACTACTAAACTAGTCCCAAGAGCGCTGGAATACTACGGCACCGGTACGCCGTACGTAAAGGATCCACTCCCGGAGATAACCAGGAGAAATAACAACAACAGCAACCCCTTTGAAGGCTTTGCCTTTGCCCTCCAGTGGGCCCTCCGTTATTGGTCGGGAGACACGAACTGGTTGGGTTGGGTTCTTGGCCCACTCTGTCGGTGTTGATCTTCCATTTCATTTTCATCTCAGAGGAAATGGAAACGAAACTTGGACGGCAATGAATATCCGCGGATGGGGGGAGTCTAGCATGGAGACCTCCACTGTTCATGATCTTTTTCGCTAGGCTGAGAAAGGCAATAGTTGTTTCGGTGTGCTAAACTGACTGTATCATATTGAACGCTTTTTGACCCATGAGAGAGTTTATTCCGGTCAACCTTATTGGGTTCTTCCGTGGGTATGGAGATTGAAGTTGATTTGTGATGTATTCGTTGCATCTCGGTGACTTCCATTAGTTGACGACCCATATCATCTGGTAGGTAGCATGCACTACGCATACACCTGGATACCTATACGCTTCTCTTATATAGGTATGACATGCTACTGGGAAAAAATCACGGTCAGCTAACATAGTTGCCTATGCTCTGCACACACGCAGACACAATCAGACTTCACCCCAGAGAGAGGAAGTCACCGCCACAAGCCCCACAGCTAAAATGAGCCGCTAATTCCCCGATGGGCAGCATTCTGGCTGGTTTCCCGCACGTCTGTCAATGGATTTGGTGCTCCACTGTCTGATAGACTGGTCTAGATAGGGAGATCATCTGGATGCTCGTCGTCAGTGACACCGAAAGAAGAATAGGATCTGATTCTTTTTAGACTGTCAAGCTGGGTTGCGGATGGGAGGTTGAAGGTATTGTTCGTTTTGCTCTCTGTGTCAATGGAGGAAATAAGATAATTCATCAAGAGTTGATAACTTGCTGGCGTTGGTTTTAGAGTCTGGGAGGTATAGTGTATTTATTCATGCCTTGATATACTTCAAAGACAAGGTCAATGGCTGATGCATGCCTCTGTGAACCCTGACTGTATGATACAGCCTCGTACAGTACATCCCAAACGAAGACCGTGAGAGGCAAAAAAACAAGGCAACCAGACATGAATCACTCGCAGTATGCATTCCATGGGGCGAAAAGTCCCAATGAGGAGGCAACTGCAGGCGTTTAGGAAATTTTCTACGGGCGTCCAAACTGTTGGGAAACCTTACCATTCCAGTAGGGAACGTCAAATTCAGAACAGGTAAGTGATGATGTTTGTACCATGGAACAAGGTGGGTTATGCGAGGGTTCCCTTGAAGTCTATTCTGCACCGGCCACTGTATGCCCTGTCCTCTTGTCTTGGGTGGTGGTTGTATGCTCGTAGCAGTGGTACGGTTTCTACCTCAGACTCCTTCTTGGTCCAAGCTCCTAGGCCACTTCTTTTCTTTTCTTGAGCAGAAAATATGATATGACCAGTGACCCTTTCTTGGTCACTTAGCTACCCCTGAGTGCCGTGTTCTAGCGCCTCGCGGGAAGGCGGATTGTGTTGCTCCGTGGAAAACCGGCACAACTCCCCAATTTCTTCGTGCGAAGGGTTTTGTATACTATCGTTTCTGTTGGTTGGGTGAGGTTTCGGTTCGGGAGGGTGGTATGGGGACCCTTGTATTCAATATAGATTGCTTTCGTGTTCGGATAAACCATATCCGAGAGAGAGAGAGCCATAGGATACCTTGTTCTCTATCTGGAGTATTGGTTCACTATATGGAGTCGACTGCGTCCATATCTACTTGGAAAAGGTCTGTATTGTATCATGCTGTACCTACGGATAAGTAACCCACGGCGGTTTATCAAAAGCAGGGTGAAAGAGTAGACGTATCAACCCCGCAGTCGAGACGCCAAGGTTGAGGACATAAGCCGGACAAAGGCATTCATCTTGTGATGACCAGGGATTCTTGTCGTCGTCGTCATCCAATGCAGTCATGGCTGCTAGATCCTGGTGTAATCCCCCGATAGCTAGTGGGTTAGTGGGCTATTAGCTGCTTCATCTCGGTACCAAAGCTCAACTACGGAGTACTAAAAGGAGGATATCGGGACCAGCGCCTTAGTGCAGGGACTAAGTGGCCCCGACTCAAGTAGGAGGTGTTGTTCACTTGTTCTGCTGTAACAGATGGAGACCTCGCTGTCCTCGGTAATTTCACTAACGAAACCTGACCCGCATTAGTCATCTCCCCTGATCGAATGAGTGGGTGAAGCCGGACCAAAATAGTAAGAAAGTGGAATAGCCGCTCGGAAACCAAGGTTCCTACCTCGGAATCTTTATCCATGATGATCTGATTGCTCACTTTCCGGCGGTTGCCCCCTAGTATTTCCCAGGAATGGCTCTATACACGCTGGAGGTGTGGCCTGACCAAAGGGAAAACCGGTTAACGGTGCAGGTATGTAGGGTCGATCGTACTTCGACATGCAGGTGGTGGTGGCATCGAATAGTGTGTTGTTCAAGAAGTTTGACGGCCTTTCGTCCAGGGGCACTAGCTCGCGCTAGTTCTATACATGTCGAGATGTTCAGCGACCTGAATGGACATGGCTGCACACGCTATCTGAGTGGAGTCACTGACCGTTCCGACTGTCGATCCTTGGCTGACGTTGGCAGCGAATGAGACTAATTGAGCGAGTATCGGATTTACTATCAGTCATCCCAGTAAAATGAAAACCCCACTAGCCACTGACTGGTAAGAATTTACTTCTGTGTCGTGCTCCAGACTTCAGCACGTTTAGTCGATAGTAAGTAGTAGCTGGTACTGATAGTTGGGTGTAAAAGGGCAAAGCACGCAATGGCAGGTGGGGTTCCGACTGCTGCCTTAGGCACATATCAGATCCTCGTCCAGAAGAGAGAGAGTTCTCGAATTAGTTAGACCTCAATAAATACACCCAGACCCATCTCCATCTCCGCCGATAAAGGGCGACATCTCTAGGTCCTGTTCACATCAAAATTGATAATGTAGACTAACACGTATCACAAAGATTGCCAAGAGATCATCTTAGGTATCAAATATCACAAACGCCTCACCCTAGCCTTTTAAACAGGGGGAATCAATCCAAAAAGTCGCAGAGGCTGCAAGGAATGGAAGCAGAAATAAGCAGTGATATCATTGGTCACAAGCAGTGTAGCACAAAAAGAAAACGGAAAAAAAAAGGAAAGGAAATATAGCAGAAGATCAACGCGTATATGGGAAAATGAATAGAACAAGCTGGCCAAGTCGAAACGCTCGTAAGTCTGTCGTTATAGGCATCACACGATACAGTTAGTATGATGGTTCCCACTTTGGAACACTATCAAAATACACCGAGAAGTTCTTCTGGTCTCATCTTGGGGATCTCCCAAGGGGTTGAGCACGATGGCCGCAAAAGGAGGCTAGTGGTTACATTGGTGGCTTGAACGTCCCCATAGTACTATTTAACCCACTCCCAAGAAGCCCCAGTCGGTTCCCTCGGGTTGGTTAAGAATGCGTGTCTGGTGTTGCTTGTATTGGAAATTATGTGGATAGGTGACCATCAGCGGGTGACCTTCCACAGCAGGAACACCGGGAAAGGGTTGCTGGAATTCCGGGGGAATACTGTACCCCTGACGGCTTGGGTCGTACCGTTGTTGCATGAGTTGCATGTATTGCTGTTGCGCTTGATGGACATCGACGGGTGACGATACCGGTATACTTTGAGTTACAATCGGCGGCGCATCTTGCACAGGAACAGGCGTTATTGGAAGACTCGGTGGTGGATAGAAATCATGGGATGGAGTTTGCGCGTGGGGGTAGTAAGGCTGTTGAGCAAGGAGATATTGATCGTTCGGTACTGAGGCGGGGACGGGTGTCTGGTAGGAATGTTCGGAAGTCGCATCCTCGGATGGAGGGCGAGTTACTGTGCCGGGAGGGTGTGAACGGTGCTGGTGCTTAGTGAGTGTCGTTTTACGACAAAAGCTATATGGAGTTATTAGCGCTCGTGCTATTTGTACGGGTAAGATACGATTCTACCTTCGTTCGCATGTTGGTTCCTGGCAGATGTACGGCCGCTTTCCCGTGTGAATCCTCCGGTGGCGGGCTAAACTTGAGGACTGCGCCGCGTCAGCATTTCTCTCATAGTCAAACAGGAGTTTAAGGGCAAGGCCTACGTCGGAAAATGCTTTGTGGCATCCTTCATGATCACAAACATGGGGTTTCTCCCCAGTATGCGTTCGCGAATGGACAGTCAACGCACTTCGTTGAATGAAGCTCTTGTTGCAATCTTTCACTGTACAGTGGTACGGCCGTTCGTTGGTATGTATGCGATAATGTCGGCAAAGATCCGACTTGCGATTGAACGACTACTTATATCAGTACGATTGGGTCAAGGGGGAAAGGGACGGGAAGCGCTGGGAAAAAAGACTACCTTTCCACAATGCTCCCAGGAGCAGCTGAAGTCTCGTCCACTGCCGGGCGCCATGGCTGCAGCTGTCTGAGGCGTGGATATTCAAGGCTACCCTCAGATGCGGGACAACCGCTGATAGGGACAGCGGGGAGCGGACAACGGTGGGGATACCGGGAAACCAGATGAACAAACAACGATAGATCTAAGTGGGCAACAAGACAATTGAAGGTGGGTATAGCACAAAAGGATCAAGCGGAAGGGGGAGTGTGTGCAATACAATCCAAATTCAAACGAGATCAAAGCATCGAAGGCGTTGAAATGAAATGCAAACGAGCAACTACATAGACAACAATATAGGAGGGGGGCGGAAGGAAGATGGAGACGATGGAGTAGATAGATAAAAACAGCTTCTCGGGAGTGGAAAATTAGTGGATCGAAAAGCGAGACGGAAAGGGAGGGCGTAAAAGAGAAAAAGAAAGACCGGGAGAGGAGTCAAATCTCGATTAAGTGGAGAGACTGTCACAGAAATTAAATCCGAGAAGGCATGCAGCAGCTGTTTCGATGACTGGGGGAGGTTCTGGCCAACGAGTCACAGGAAGGCCGATGGATCGAATTGGGAAAAGCAACCGCAGTCGCTGATTTGAGGCTGGAGCATAATACTTATAATAATAATAATAATTATAATAAATTGATTACTTATAAATATTATTATTATTATAAGTAGTCCCAGCAATATAGGAAGAAGTAGTAGGAGTAAGTCGCACTAGAACCAACCCACTGGTAAGTTTGGTTTCCTGTACCTATTATCAAGGCAGGTAGGCAGACGATAATAACGACTGTCGTCAAACATAGACTGGGAGACACCAGAGGCACGGATCAGACAGACAGGAGAAAAGAGAGAAAAAGAAAAAGAAAAAAAGAAAAAAAAAAAAAGGTAGCAAAAGCAAAAGGGAACTTTAGAAAATCCCCCCAAAAGATGATCAAATAATAATAATATCCACGATAATAAGCTGTCGGGATCGGTGGAGTCCTGCGACGGTGATACAGACAAACGTCGGTCCTAAATGTCGTTCTAGTCCGGTATGGAGACAACAACTGGAAGAAGTAAAAACAAACTAGGAGATAACGAGCCAAAGAAGCCTATGAAACGGGATTGAAATACAAAATAAGAACAGGAAATGAGGCAATAACTCTCGGTCCTGAAAAGTAAAAATGGAAAGAAAAGAAGTGAGAAAAAAAAGAATGGGAGCTGACAGCATGGAAAATCTTAGGCTTTGGCGACCACTCCTTTTTTTCGGTTTTCCCTTTGTTTTTTGCCTCATCCTTTCCTCTCGTGGATGAGATTTTCTGCGTTCTGTAATTTAAACGGCTGCATACTCCATGGATACGTGCCTCGAGAATCCATGTCCCTACCTGCAGTTCGTGTACACCTTTCGTACCGTACGGAGGTACAGGTTGGAAGACTGTGAAAAGGATCAAATGCCAGAGAGAGGATGATTCGATAGGATTGAGCCTAACGTCTTTTCAAGTCATTCACATATCAATCTGGACTTGTTTTACAAAGCATTACCCGATATTAGAACGAACGAAGGAACAAGGCTAGAGTATACTGTACATCAGTACATGCTAACAAATGTATGTAAGTATCATACACTGATCGAGAGGATGGATCCGATTATTAGAGACTACTACTACCCAGAATAGTTAGTATGCCAGAGTAGCAATATAATCAGGATGTTGTGGTTTTTTTTTTTTTTTTTTTTTTTTTTTTTTTTTTTTTTTTTTTTTTTTTTTTTTTTTTTTTTATTGTTGTTTCCTATATTTATTTTTTTTGTTGGGTGATATTTTTTTGATGAGCAGTGTCGTGGTTATATATTTCTTTTAGATACTCTTGAAATACGATTGCTATTACTAGGTATTCTCAGAGTACCAAGATTGCTAAGAAAGAAAGAGACTCTTTTGGAAGTAGTACTACATATTGCTCTGTAGAATTAAATGTTGACTATTAAAACAAAAAGAGAAAAGCGAAAAGGGCAAAAAAAACGAGAAAAGGAAAAAAAAGAAACGAAAAGAAAAAAAAAAAAAAAATGACAGGCAGGGATTTGTCTGGGTCTGGCTTGTCGATAACGACTGGGGTATGGACTAGTCTGAGGTTTGTTGCCCACCGACTGAACACTCTTCCGCTCAAGATTATTTGGAGAGGGGGAACGGAGAGCCCCACTCCAGCTGCCTGTGCCTTGGGCTCTAGATTAGAGGCTTGGCCAATCATTGCCGACTGGGCGTCCAGCCTTTTCCTTGGAAAAATTTCCGCTAGCCTATGGATGGTTTAGTATCCTGCATGGTGGGATCCCACATTATTGATGCGACAGTACTAATCGGTATTATTTACGCCGTCTCGAATGTCTTAGTGCTCATGGGAAGTCCCAGTGGTGTATGTGTAGAAGGGAAACGCCCCAGGGTGAGGGTACCTTGGCAGATGGATACGATATCCTATAATAGTTCAAAGTTATAGGCGCCTTATCAGGAAAGCTTCCGGAGCCGAGCGACCGATAAGCCGTGGGTATAAATTATGGAGGTGAGCTATAAAAGGGTTTTGGCTCCCCCCCCCCCCTTCTCCTCCCCTAGGACAGTACTAGTAGTACTCCGTGGTACTACAAGTGCTCGGCACCGCTAACTCAAACGGAAATTCTAATCTCATGCCCCATCTTTTACAGGGGCTATTCTTCGGGTGTACCAGGTTACTACCCGTCGGTGTTCTCCCCTAAGGTTGGGTTACCCAGTACCACCCTCTCTTTAGGAGCTCCCGGTTGTACCACCCACGGAGAATTCAAGTATGATTGGGTTACGGGCTAGCTAGCAGAAACTAATTTAGACCCAGAGTTTTCCCGTATTACAATTACGATCGCCACCACTAGGGTACTACGGACGGTTGACAAGCGCCTGTCAGAGCCCAGTGGAAGCGACGGACTGAGGCAGACCCTGGTACATACCTATAGTAGGCGAACGACCTGGTACTTAGTAGGAGGGCGTCGACAGGACGGTGAGCGAATTAGATGAGGAGAGCCCAGAAAACAGAGTTAAGAATGCAGAAAGGAAAATCATAAGCAAGGGATACACTTTATTAACGAGAGAGCAATACGGAGTGCATCCGAATGTTCATACCTCATTGGATGTGCAAGCACAAGTAGTATTTGAAGGAAGAAGGCCACCAAGTAAGTAATTGCATGTTTCTCACCTAGTATCGCCCTTGGAGGCGTGTAAGATTTCTATCTCCTCGGAAATCGTCCCACTGGGTTATTACCGTCATTGCCGAGAAGCTAGAAGGTACTTACTACATACATCCGTACGGACGTATGTATGTATGTACTCAGTACTAGTTACTGGTACGCTACTGGAGATGTTCGCTACCTTGTACTAGATCTCAGGGCTGCTTCAACGTACATACACTGGAGATCAAATTGTGATACCCTTAGGAACTCTGTACCCCGTACGATGGTGTGATCCCAGGAATTAGCAATCAAATTGGAACTTAAATCCCGAAGGAATTGGAATGAAGCCATTTCTCATTCATTCTTAGAGGCCGCATCGGATACATCAGCTCCTTAGCTTCAACCACCACGTGGTTGACTTCAAGATGCGATCAGACGGGTGATACTTCCACCCGAGGGCATGGGGAGAAGGAAGACAAGTGCAATCTAGGATCAAGGCCGTCCACTTACTGAGGGGTCACAATTGTCGTGATTGAAGAACAATCAAACATATGAAGATCACCGCATGGCGTTTGCAGCTACGGTGAACGTGCTGGACACCGAAGCCACCTTTCATCGCATTCTCCTCAATCCCCGTGGCTTTCAATTCTACCCACATGGTTCAGCAGCCAGTCAGGTAGTTACTCCAATTCCATATCCCCATTCAGACCCATACCTGTGCTATTTCTGACAAGGATTACTAAGAGAGTCAGAGAGGGAAAAAAAAAAAAAAAAAAAAAAAAAAAAAAAAA